GAGGTTGATCAAGACGATGAACACTTACACGGCATGAAGGATTGTAAGCCTGCTTTAAGAACTGCTTAATTTAATCTCTAATCTAAGTAAATTAGACAAAGTAAAACTAATTTAATAATAGTTAATATGGGTAACTACTTGTTGTTACATTTTTGTTGCGCGCCTCGTATCGTACTCGGGAGTCTGTTTTATATACAAGAGCTAACGCTCGAAACGTCAGCTTTTATAATCGTAGCGGTTGCCAATTTACCATTTCAACTTTGTTGATATATTAAAATTACTATTTTTATATACGCTTTGTTAGCGGACATCTTTTGGTCATTCGTGCATGTAACAAACCATATCTCGAATAGACGAATCCAGATTTTAAAAAGAACCCGACAAGATTCTTAAATACATAGAATGAAATTGAAAGGTTCTCGACCATGTAATACTGCCATTTCTTCTAGTTTACGAGATATCTAATTATTTTAATGAGTCTTATTTGATGAATTAGAAACTCTTCCATTACTGGAATTTGACTTTTAATATTTCTTCAAGCCTTATTCTTTGCGTTTTGTTTCGTTTGTATAAATTTCGATACTTACAGAAATATCTTTATTTATTTCTATCTATAATGAGTTGGTTTATTGTCCGTTGGACTTGGCAGGTACGAAATTCATGCGAGTCATATTCATCTAGTACGCGACTTTTTGTTCTCGGGTCCCAAGCAAAGCGCTTGTATATCATAATAGAATGGTTTGGCATAGCGGTCAGGGAAAGCGAAAAACCGGAATTGTTGCCCTCCAAACTTACATGCTGCATTTAAAATGTGCTTGTCAATCCTAAGATGAATTTGAGTTGGAGTTTCAAGGAAGATCTTTTTCTTCATTGTTCTACTTAAGTCACTGGCATTTAAAGGTTTATTCAAAGGTTTATTTTTCAAATAAATACATGGCTGCCCTCTATGGGGCTGAATTGCGTATTTACAAAAATTGTAACAGAATATCTAATAGTATGACTAATGTAAGAATAATAATAAGCTTAAAAATGAAATTGAATACTGTGAAATGATGAAACCTATTATTAAAATTAATAAAGCTATATTTATGTAATATCATGCTAAATACAAGATTTCATTGAAAATGTGTCCCTGAACCTATTTGTTTTCCACCTTGATGTTTCAAAACGCCTGCGTCGTCTTAGATGGTAAGACGACTTATGGGCTGAGGGTAAAAGATTTCTTAACTGGTTACTCTTATCATTTAAAAAAGAATTAAAGGTCTTCTTAAAATATATTTCATTGTAACGTTCAATGCTTGGTAGTTTAGTGCTGACTAAAGCATCGCTGTAGTCTATCCCCGGGAAAATAATAACCAGCGCCCTTTCTGGACACGCTCCAGTTCCGTCTTGAGATACAACGGCAGCCAGTAATAGAACGCCGGTACCGCATAACTAAGTACAGATCGAATGGAAGTGCAATAGAATAAGACTAATTCACTTGTTGGGAGTCTCGCCCTATTAAGCTGCACCAAAAAATTCAAACGTTTAGAGGCCTTGTTTATAACCTCACTAACATGCTCGTTCCGTGACAGGTCATCACTTATGGTGACCCCAAGGAGTTTTGCAGACTTTACGGTTTCCACACCTTTCCCATTAACTATAATTGGAGGAAACTCCTGCTTTTGATTACCGAAAGTAATTCAAAGCTCTTTACTTTTATCATTGTTCAGTTGTACTCTATTTTTAGAGGACCATTCCATTACACAGTCAGCTATCCTCTGCGAAATACTTGCCTTTCCTTAGATGACAACTTCTGAGGTCGTAGTGTCATCAACATATTTCCACATTTCGGCATTTACGCCAGTACTTAATTCAAGATCATTAATAAGCACAAGAAATAACACCGCCCCTAGCTTGGTTCCTTGTGGGACGCCGGACGGAACTGACTTCCACTAGGAAAAACAACCCTTTGCAAGTTTAATTCGCTGAAAACGGCCCGATAAAAAAATCTATGATCCAATTAATTATCTGTTTGGATATCTCCAAGACGGTCAGCTTCCTAACTAAAATGTCATGAGCTAAAAGATCAAAAGCCTTCCTATAATCGAATAGTGTGGCTTTCACGGTGGCACCGTTTCCGTCAGTCGCTTGTGCCCATCGGTGAATCAATTGAATCAGAGCTTGGGTTGTAGAGGAGTTTGGCACAACCACATACTGGTTTGGATCCAAAACTCTCAAGACGGCTGGTTTGACATAATCACTTATAACACATTCCTCTGCCACCTGAGAGAAGCATGCCGTCAGTGAGATTAGTCTCAAGTCTTTCTTGAGATCTTCTACGGGCTTCCTCTTGGGTAGGGGGGTCACATCAGCAAGTTTCCATATATGCGGCTAGCACTGCTCTCTAAGTGACGCATTGATGATTTTGCTGACTGGGAAAGCTAGAAAATCCGCGAATTCCTTCAAGAGCCAATTTGGCACCTCGTCCGCGCCACTCGCCTTCTATTTGAATCTGGTGTTTCAAGTCGCCTGAGAGGGACTTGGCGCAACAGAGCCGCTTCACTTCTTTCCACCATAGCTTTGGATTATCATCTTTCGCTTGCGCAATCTCGGTCTTATAGAAGTTCCCTTTGCACTTTTTCCTCTCGCGATTTACAATGTTCCTAAAGAACTTGTACTGCGCTGATTCCGCAACATGAGTGTGAAAGGCCTTTTTCCTTTTCAATATAAGACCTTTTAAGTGCTGGGTCATCCATGGGACATCAGATGTATTGACACGGACTGTTTTCATAGGTATCAGGCAGTCCAGTCCTGTTTGTATCACTTTCTGGAATACATTTACCATGTCCTGGCAGTTTTCAGCGTTCGCGAACAAGCAAGACCAGTCCATGGAATTTAGTTATCGGCCTAGTTCAGCTTTCCGCGTTGCTCGTTGGTCTCGTTTGAGTACTACCTTGACTGAAGTCTTATCAATGGTGTCTCTAGCCCTTGCATCGGCAGTGACAGTATTATGATCAGAGAGACCAAAAGGTGGAAACGATTGTGGAGTGTCGTAGAATTCGTGCAAATTAGTAACCACCAAATCGAGAGTTGCCTTTTTCCAAGTAGGCTTCTTTACAATTTGCTTCAGACGAAAGTGGCGTTGTATCGACTTGACATCAAGGCGATTAAAATCGCTAGCCACGATCAAAGCACAATTAGGAAATTTAGACTCAGCTAAGGAGAATGATTTGAATAACTTATCACGCATTAAATCGTTTTCGGGCTTTGACCAGAAGGGATGATATATAACTGCTGCGATGAAGGAGAAAAACCCCCTTGGAAGGCGAGGAGGGCGTAGCTGTACCCATAACGTTTCATGCTCATCACAGCACGAGAGTTCATCAAGCCGATTGTATTTAAAAGCATCATCCTTCAAGTAGATGCAGACCCCGCCGTGGTTATCTAAGGACCAGTCCTTTCGTAGCATGTTTTGCTAAGATTTGTCTTACATGTCTTAATGGCCCTTAAGGTACAGATTTATCGATGACACAAAGTCTGTAACAATAAAATTTGTCAATAAATACCTTTAAAGTTTTAGAATCTATCAGTATTGCTCCTTGATAGTACTCCTTGTCGCTTTTCAAAGCTCTTGTGCTTGCAATGAGGGCCAAGAACAGAAAATAGTCCTTCCACTTGTCCTTTAAGATCTAAAAATCCAAAGTCAAACGATTGGAGCAAGAGTCATTCAAGAATATATGTGCCACACTCCGATACTACTACTGCGCCTTTAAGACTTGAAGGTGAGTCAGGCCATTAGTAATGATAGGTCGGGGGTTGATAATATCTCACCAACTTACAAAACAGTAACATTCTTGGCTTCGAATTATGAATTTGCCAGTAGAGATGCAGAAAAGAGAAAATTTTTCAATTCTCCCCTCTCCGGACATAGGAATTACTGACCTCATCCTTTATAAACTTTCTTGGCCATTGACTTTCTAGATCATCTTCCCTCTTATGTTTGTTTTTTTCGAGAAGTTCTTTATATGTTTCATTGGATTCAACCGGTTTTTCTTTTCCTTGGTTCAGTAAGATATCGACCTTGTCCATTAAGTTTTTTTCAAATTCTTCCAGTGGGCTTCCTCGCTTCAGACGCCTAAAGTGGTGCAATAAGATCTGACTGTTAATTAACGAAAAGGTAAAGGAAAATATAGGAAATAAGCTGCAGAGACAATTAATGAAATCAAGGAAAAACCATTTTCTCCCTTACATACACTCTGGCTACGAGCAGGGATGTTGCAGTGGCAAGAGCACTCACCTCCCGTTGGGTTCGATTCCCAACCTGGCGTCACATGTAGGTTAAGTTTTTCGTTAGTTTTTGTCCTTCCTCCGAAGGATTTTCTACGGCTCCTCTGGTTTTCGTCCCTTCACAAAAGCTAATCTTACAAATTCCATATCGATAAGGAAAAAGTCGACAAGGAGAGCACTTGGTATAATTTTCATTGCTAAATTTTCGTTTATTCACGCATTATTATTTTTCAAATACAGTTGCTTGGGATGTTGTTTCGAACTAGAGAACTAAGTTCACAGATCTTTGGAATTAGTAGTCCTTATATTTCGTTTCTTTTTGTCTATTCGAAACAGTGCACCATTATGATGTTTATTTGAGAATGTTCTTGCCACAAATATGTGCAAATTGTAAGGCAGAGTTAATCTCGGTCTAACCAGAGTTGTTACTTACACGACCTCGACTTCGGCTGCTTTGAAAAGGGGAAATGACTTCTCTTGGTACTTTTCTTTCATTGAAAGATAATACACCTTGCGGATCCCCTTCTACAGATGGAATGAGAGATAGTCATCACTTAATGTCACTCCCACGCTGAGGGAAACTAACTGCTTTCGTATACATACATGTGGCAAACGTACATCTCACAATGGGCTTATGTAAACTTAACTTAATTTTCAATCTCTTGATATTAAACGTTGATGAACTCGGCAATGACTAAAGGCTTAGAAATCGACGTATTTAGCCTTCCGGTGGGAGAAACTTGAAATTAGCAAGGAAAAAGAGGCTGCACGGTAATCTCTTTTAAAATCGGTAACTCACGGACCCTCGTTGGTGCGCACAAGCATTAGACACCTTTCTAAATCGCGTAATAGTGGCTTATTCTTAACTCCTTAATGGAATAGAGTGAAAAAGAAAGGGAGAGAGTGATAAGGAAGGGAGAAAGTGATAAGGAACCTTCCAAATGGCCATTCAGTTCAGAAGATTGGAAAAAGTGTAAAATTAAGTCAACACAATCAATGGAGACAACATTCAAACTTCTCATTAAGCCAGCCGCTTGACTGGTTTCAAGATGCAAATGTCATTGGTTATGAGCCGTACGAATTTTCTTCATATTACTTACCGCTATTAGCATTTTTGCGCATTCTAGACAGGGAAACATTGTAACAAAGGCAATAGAGCCTTCCAGATCAGCTTGGCCTGCGAGGATCACAGCATTGGCTTCTGCGTGGACAACTAGATGAGCCTTTTCTTTGCTTTCTAATCCCCAGTTCTCTTCCGTATTTTCGGTTCCGGGTGGAAAACCATTGTATCCCATACTCAAAATCTGTCAAGGGTTATAGGGAGTTAGTCTGTGAAAAGAACGGTTCACCTGTTGCATTTTTTCAGTTCAAATTGGTCTTAGACGGCAAATTATGTTCTGCAATACAGGTTTTATTTCTACTACGCTTTTTAAGCATGGTAATGTTATTCAGTGCATATTCCCTTACAGACATTACAAATGATAGCCTTCAATATTACTCACCCTCAGTGATTCTGGGTGTACAATAACGCATCCCACCATCAGTTTCGGGTCTTTCGACCTCATGGAGACACAGAATGCCAGATCCATGTAGTATTCGACCCAAGATGGCCGCTAACAATGCAAGACAAAAAAAGAAAAGAGAAATATGATGAATTTTGAGCTTGTTTATCCCATAGAGAAAATAAAAGAGAATATGATCTCTCAGAAAATATCATTCATCATGTGACGAGAAGGGACACAGCACGAATAATCAAATTTAAGTTGGCGTAATGGCGACTTAAAGCTAGCGTAAAGTTCTCATTTACGGAACTTTACGCTACCTTTACACGACGTAAAGGCAAGCTTTACGCAACCTTTATGCATATGTGTAAAGTTGGTGTAATGAGACTTCTTTAAGCCGCCTTTAAACTTGGAGTAAAGCTAGCGTAAAGTTCTCATTTACACAATTTTACGTTACATTTACGTTACGTAAAAGCAAGCTTTACACTACCTTTACGTATATGTAAAGTTGCTGTAATGAGACTCTTTAAGCCGCCTTTAAATTTAGCGTAAAGATAGTGTAATGTCAACTTTACGCATAAAGTTGCGTGTAAAGCGACAGTAAAGACACGGTACTTCCTTACGCTAATTTTACACCTGGCGTAAAGACAGTTTAATCCCAATGTTATGCTTATTAAAGCGACACATGTTACTTCAAAATGATTTATTTTTTTAAGAAATCTGCTCGCAAGAGCTTCTCGGTTACGAAATACTGTAATATCATATTAAAAAGACGAAATTGTGAACCTCTTGTCATGTCAAAAAAATATCTTAAAAATATCTATATACATCTATGTATAAAAGTCATAGACCTTCTTCCAGTATCTTCAAAATAGAACAGAGGGAAACAAAAATTGTAAACCGTTTTCTTATTTCAATTGATAGATACTACAATAATTATTGTTTTAATCGCTCTCATCTAAGTCGCTGTAGTGGCCTACAGGTTCTGTACTTTTTTGGATTTCGGGCTTTCTTTTCTAACATTTCTTAACAGTATCACTAAAAATGACAAAGTACAATTTCCGTAATAATTTAATATTAAATAAACTTAGTAAACATGGCAAGTGTCAACTCACTGCAAAGTCGCCTATGCGCACTGTCCTTTTTTGATTAGTGAGCTTTCTTTTCAAACATTTCTTAACTGTAACATTAAAAAGATAAACTTGTGCACTTGAAACAAAACTATGTGAGCCATTTACTTATAAAAATTGAAACTGGTGTACTGCTGTCTTCCTGAAATTGACCAAACTTTGCAACTTTGGGGTTCTCCCAGAATAAACTCAAGGGTGCTCATTGTAGTCAATGCCATTAATGTTCAATAAACTTAGTACTCTGGAGAAGTGGCAGCTCTTTTTAAGGGCCTACGCACAGTGTCTTTCTTTGATTTTGGCACTTTTTTCCTCTTTGCTGAGGTGTCAGATGACCTTCCTGTTCCTAAGAGTCGGTTGCTGTGGGATGGAGTTCTAGGTGTTGGAGGGTGGATGCTTCGAGATGAACTTCCTGTTGTGGATGGTCGGGTGCTGTCAGATGGAGTTGCAAGTGCTAGAGTGACGATGCTGCGAGGTGAACTTCCTGCTATGGAGAGTCGGGTGCTGTCAGATGGAGTTGTAAGTGCTGGAGTGACGATGCTGCGAGGTGAACGTCCTGCTATGGAGAGTCGGGTGCTGTCAGATGGAGTTGCAAGTGCTGGAGTGAGGATGCTGCAAGATGAACCTCCTGTTGTGGAGGGTGGGATGCTGTCAGATGGAGTTGAAGGTGTTGGAGGGCGGATGCCATAAAATGAAGTCCTTGTTGCTGAGGACGGGGTACTGTGAGATGATATTGTAGGTGTTGGAGGGCTGAAAGTGGGGCCAGTAAATGTTGCTGGGTCTTCAGGCCTCACTGCCCATTCCAGACCATCAATAGGTCGGGGCTTTGTGGATCGCATTGAATGAAATCGCCTTGCCACCATGTTCACTCTTGCTTGCACATTTAGGCTTTTAATATGCGCATCATCAAGAGCTGTTTTTACTTTTGTCAATGCTGACCTTTCCAAAGGCAATTTTTTGACAAGATACCCAGAAAGTTTGGGTTGTCCATTTTCATCATCTGAAAAGTCTGACTCGTCAGAGCTGGTGTATTGGGAACTTCCAACAGCCTGCTCCACCAAAGCTTTCTTCTCCCCTGACCAAGGCATGGTCTTTTGGGTTTGAAGTCTCCTCTGGATTTTCTAAGCAATCAAAGAAAAAGCTCAAAAATCAACAAAAGTAGATTTTATTCATCAAACAGAGAGCCAAATCATTGAAATTTTAATCTTTTACCAGTTGATTACCGCTATAAGATTACTAAGCTAATAAAAATATTTGCATGTGTGATCATTAAAGATCGCTCAACGCAGTTTCGGACACTTAGATTTTGATGGGTTTCTATAAACATACTTTATCACTTGATGCTACAATTAAGGTCAGGTTCACAGGAACCTTAAATTTTCAAAAAAATTTGTGGTGGCTGTGAACCCTGTCCACAGAATTTCTTTTAACTTTGTCGAAAGTTGCATCTTATCATGTTTATCAAATTAAGGGTGTTTTTCAGGAGGTTGCTATGGTAACTTACTGTGTCACAAAAATAACAATGTGGTCACCAATGATTGGGCAGTATTCTTATACATGTACCATGATTGTAGCATCAAGTGATGGAGAGTGGTCATAATAACCCATCCAAATCTAAGGGCTGGAAACTGTTTTGAGCCACCTGACAATTGACAAATCCAATTCAATTTATAAAATAGTATTATATGTATCATATTCATGTATCTCAGAATAGCTTGTTAATAGATATTAATGTCCACAAATTCTCAGGAGTTACAGTTTTGAAAGGCAAAAATTTTACTTGCAGACATTCTCTAACTAGAAATAACTCACATTTTGCAACCTTGCCAGAGTTAATTTTGAGCCATGTTTAAAACTCAAGAAATGCCTAATAACAGGAGTTACCGGTGTTAGCCTAACATTCATAAGTTTACAGAGATTGTACTGAAAAGGTAATTACGGCATATTACAACAGAAACTTACATCTCTCACTCTCCCCTGCTTCCGACAGAGATTCTTGTGAGCCTCTTGCTTCCCTTTTTTGCTCTCATTGAAGCATCATGTAGACTTTTCAAATATGTGGCACCAGCACCTTAGGAGAAAATGTTACACCATCAGTACAGTGTAATGGGAGAATTAAAAATTTTCATTCACTCAATAGTAATAATTGTTTTAATAATCCATCAAATGTTTTTGCTGATGTGTGATTGGTTTAAATGTAAATGTGTCATGTGACTGAATATTCCATGTGCAGTGAAACTTGGGAAATATTTGAGTGATACTGCACATGTAAAATGCAGAAATATTAAAGAAGGGTAATAAACTCAACAACCTCCATTTGGCATGAAAAAATGCTCAGATATATGTCCTTGGACATTATTTGTACCACAAAGTTCACAGTTTTCCTCAAGCTACGCTGTATGCTCTTGGAAAACTGTTCACTTCTTGGAACAGATGTCTGCGAACAAGTATCGGAGCATATTTCCATGCCAAATGGAGGCTGGAGAATAACCAATATACCAGTAACCCACAATAAAATACTGAAAGCAGAATGTACAATCTCTGGATGTGTGGGCAAATTCTGGTCAAAGGGCAGACTTTAAAAGCCCTCTTTGTAATCCTGCAAATAACTGCGAAAGTCCTGTGAGAATAATGGATACTTTTAACGCCCCCTTTATTCAGAGATGTTTGACCTTTATTTGTGGGGGATTCATTTTCAATTTATCATTAATTGCCTTATTTAAAATGTTTTGAATTTTTCATCATGGAAAGTTGTATTGAAAGGCAGAAGCAGACTTTAGTTTGCTCTAAATGAATTTTTTTTTTAACGTAATTTTGTGCGGATTTTTGCGCTTTTCTTCTTATACTGTTTTCTTCTTCCATGGCTAAAGGCTTAGCTCGAAATTTAGTTTAATATTTGGTAATCTAGCAAAGGCGATGACAAGCAAGTCTTTTTTCCCGAAGTCGATTTTCCTCTAGCAGTGCATAAGGTGATGCACAGATAATTTATATCAAGTATGTGTCTATTAAAACCACAAATAAAACTTTCAGACCGCACGACCCTTGAACAAGTTTTCATGTTAGATATTAAATATGGAGCTTTAATACTTCAACTTGTAAGAGTGAGTGATGAATACCCTAGGTCCACCTTTTCTAAGTCGAAGTGATCATGTTAGAACCTGTAATTTTGCAAGATTCCTCCGTGTTAGAAGCGACTGCTTGGGCAACTAAGCTTCAGTCCCGTTGAGAAAGGATGTACCGCTGCCACATTGGATTTTGCTGGCCTAAATTCAGTCCAATTTGAGAAAAGCTGTACCATGGAGCTTTCGGAAACCGGAGATAATAAAGGAAAGAATCAAGTATGTTAACCTTTATGCCGCGGTAAATACGCTTTTCGTGTCACATTTAGCTTTCACAGCATTTAAACATATTTCATTTCATATTTCAAATGAACTTGCGTGACTGTTCTTCAAAATTGCATTTGAATATAAGATCAGTCAGCGTTGTCTGTGATTATGCAAATTCCAAATTTGATTTTGAAATGTTTTTTTTTCTTCAACATGGCCGGTTGAATAAGCGATAATTTAATGTTTCAAAATACGCTTAAAGAATAGGGGACACTAAATTGAAATATTGAAGAAAGGTTTCTCTGAATTTGATCTCACCGGGAGACAAAGGTCACTCAAAAACTTACATGGGATTAGCATTGCGATCGATTATAGACGTTTCCCCATCTGAAAGTCAACCAAGTGCCAAGAGGAGATTTCTATTTTACTTTGCTCCAAAATGACGTGTAGCTGATCCACGGCTGATTCGGTTTTTTTTTTTTCTTGCCATATCCCGAAGCTGTTTTCGCTCATTCCATGCTTTTATAAAATCGTTCTACCAATACGGCGGCTTTTCATCTTGAAAACACGGACATAGGCCGTGTTTTCAAGAGCGATTTTTCAGGTCGTTTAGCGAGTAACAAGGGGAAGTCCCGTGAAAACATTGTTTTTCCAATTCGCTTAAAGTTCAGCGAGTCGGCAAACTTCAGTGGAATTTTCATTAAATTTAAGCCCCCAAGCCAGGTTGCTTAAGGAAGTTGGTAATTAATTTCAGCCAATCAGGAGTCGTTTGCGGTTATTCCTTTGACAGGGCTGTCATATCGGAAATACAACACACGCGGTATTTTTATTCTCCCGTGTAGCTTCTGCGGCATTCAAAACAACATGGATAATCATAGAGCGAATAGTTTTCTTTTTATGATCCAAGAAGCTATGGAGCTTAAACCTAGTAGGGGACTTATGTCCCATTGTTTTCGCCCCGGTACTGCTTGTGCAAATCCTTAAATAAAAAGAAAAAAAATAAATAATAAAGCTTCCCATCAAATGATGCACTATGTTCTCGCCAGACATTATTTTCGTAATGGCTTAAAACCACATGCTCGAACCAGAACTATGACCTTTCAAAAACCCAAGCAATTTTCTTTTTACGAAATGCCCTTCGTACTGAAAGTAGCGCCCCTCCGTTCTTCTCTTGCTGCTTCTGATTGTAAGCAATGGCAGCCTTTGTTGAAATCGGCTCCTCCGTCGGATGAAAGCCAACCGCATAAACTCAGTAAAAAGAAGAAGGACGTACATGCGACCATCT